AAGGCATTGTAAAGTGGTATTAATACTTCATGTGATCTTGATTCTATCCCTCTGTTAATGCAGCCCAGCACTGTGTTGGCTTTTTTGGCAGCTGCAGCACACTGCTGGCTCATATCTAAGTGATTGTCCACTAGGACTCCGAGATCCCGCTCACAGTTACTACTATTGAGCAAGGTACCCCCTATACTATACCTGTACAATTACCACCACATTCTAGGGCACATTCACTACTTCCTCTGTCTTCTTAGCTGCCTGTTGTTCAGAGCTGGTCTCAGAACAATAATGTAGCATTTGGGGAAAAAGATGCAGATCAGCAGCCCAGCACTTGATGCTAACATTGAGAAGATTTCCACAGCCACTGTGTATTTCCCCTTGGTGCTCAGGTAGGTTGGAACAAAGGAGAGCCAAACACTGCAGAAGACCAACATGCTGAAAGTGATGAACTTGGCCTCATTAAAAGTATCTGGTAATTTTCTGGCAAAGAAAGCCACTATAAAGCTAATCATGGCCAAGAAGCCCATATAACACTTTGCACAGTAAAACATAACCATGGAACCTTCTTTACATTGTAGGACAATTTTTCCAGTCTCTGAGTGCAGATCAGTATTGGGAATAGGAGGAGAGATGGACAACCATATAATGCAAATCCCAACCTGAATTAAGAAGCCAGATAAAACAAAAGTGTAGCCCAGTTTTTTCCCCACCCACTTCTTTATCCCACTTCCTGGCTTGGTTGCTATGAAAGCAAGGACCACAGTCACAGTCTTGGCCAGCACACAGGAAATAGTCACAGAGAAGATGATGTTGAAGCCAGTATGACGGAGGACACATGCCACCTTATTTGGCTGACCAATGAACAATAATGCACAAAGGAAGCAAAGCAAGAGGGTGACCAGAAGCATGTAGGTAAGATCCCGGTTGCTGGCCTTGACAATGGGAGTGTTGTGATGCATCAGAAATATCCTTAGTATGAGAACTGTGATTGTGGAACAGAAAAGAATAAAACAGACTAAAGTGATTCCCAAAGGTTCTTTATAAGACAAGAAACTTATGTCCTTGGGAATACATGAATCCTGGTTTTCGTTGGGATATTTTTCTTCTGTACAACTATAGCAGTGATTCAGATCTGTAATTGAAAGGGTCTTATTTAAGTCTCAGATGAATGTATAAACCTTAGGAGTGTTCTTATATCTATACACATGAATAAATAAGAAATTTAAATTAATAAGCTGATAGAAAGGGCTAGATACAATATGTACTGAAGAAAATTTCACACATTACAGAAAATGTTCATTTAACTGTGAATAGGCAACTATCTATGCTACTAAAAAAATCTCAGTTTTACATCCTTTATCTGGGTGAAACAGTGTATGAAAGAGCAAAAATTTTGAACCAATGTACCTAAAATGTACAAAATGGTTACAAAATCCAGGACCCATGCCTCCCAAGAGGATGACCTTTGGGGAAGTTATGGCAGTTATACCTGCCAAGCTATTGCTGCAAGCTGCTGCTGTGGTCACGTGATTCTGTTAGGACCCCTCAAATAGATTTAGTTAGAACAATTAACCAGTGGAACAACCTGCCTCCAGAAGCGGTGAATGCTCCAACACTGGAAGTTTTTAAGAGGAGACTGGACAGCCATTTGTCCAAAGTGGTGTAGGGTTTCCTACCTGAGCAGGGGGTTGGACTCGATGACCTCTAAGGTCCCTTCCAACATTATTATTATTATTATTATTATTATTATTATTATTATTATTATTATTATTATCATCATCATCATCATCATCATCATCATCATCATCATCATTATTATTATTATTATTATTATTATTATTATTATTATTATTATTATTATTATTATTATTATTTNCTAATGTCCCTTCCAACATTATTATTATTATTATTATTATTATTATTATTATTATTATTATTATTATTATCATCATCATCATCATCATCATCATCATCATCATCATCATTATTATTATTATTATTATTATTATTATTATTATTATTATTATTATTATTATTATTATTATTTGCCTACAGTTTATTGCTTATGCCCATGTATTCATTTTTGGGATCTGTCATTTTGTTGGGAGGGGGGCTGGTTGGTTGGTTCCCTTGCTCTGCTCTCCATGTGAAAGGAATATGGCTTGAAAATATCTGTCTTATCTCCAGACAACAGGGACCATTGGGAAATGAAACTGAGAGAGACCTTGAGAAGGCATTAAATCACTAGGTTCTCAAAACAATTTAGTACCTATGGATTGGTTGGATTTCAAATGGATGGTTGGACACTGGGGGAAGGACACTTGAATGGGCTTTTTGATATAACTTTTGCACATGAAATCTTCAGACCTTGTTTTGCCTTTCTGCGATCACTAACCCTTAATAAAAGTTACTCTTGAAACAATGCCTGTTTCAAGAGTTCTGCTTTCTTGGGGGATCTAGTTGATCTAGGTCCTTACAGATTCTTATTTTTAAAGGTCTATGACAGTTTCCCAATCATGGTCACAATCCCTCCCTCCCTCCCTTCCCAGCAGCTGCCACTTATTTGCCTCCTAGGAAAGGAAAGAAAGTGAAAGTGCCTTCTGTGCACTTACAACAACTATTGCACAACCCCATTCACTCTTCCCTACCTGTGCCGATTCCCCTTGTGCCATCTGTAATTCTCACTGCCCCTCTCATGCACTCCCAACCACTCTCATGTATCGTTCCCAGCCTATATCAATCCCCCCCATTAAGGTATATGATTCACATGGAGTTTCTCACACATTCTGAAGCACCATCAGACATTTTTCACAACCTATGACACCCCACCCTCCCAAATGCCCTCCTTGACCCATATAGTATCTATCACTCACCCATGACCCTTCCCACAAACCCTGTCAACCACTCACACACTTTCCCTGACTGGATAGTATCTCTTGAAAACCACTGTGCCATCTTTCTCTGTTTAAGTAATTATATATCGGTGCCACTTTTATGTGGCACATTTCTTAAAGGCTGATTTAACATGAAAATCTTGTTTCCTCATCTTTTTTTGTTGAAAGTGAAAGAAGAGAGTATGAATTCCATTCTATGACTAAAACTCATGGATTTCTGGTTTCTAGCTTTGTGCTTTTATCACTACACAAAACTGGTTCTCAAAATAATGAAAACAATAGAAAAAATAGCTGGAAAAATTCAAGGTAGTTACATACTACCATTGTTGATAATAATATAATTGTATAAGAAGTCAAAGAAACAATTAGACAATCTCTATTAAATAATGTCTTTCACTTTATAAGGAGTTAGACACAATGAATAAAATATTCTCACCCTCCTTTTCTGAAATCTTTCCTTCCGGACATGACATGCAAGAATAACAGCAAAATGGCTCCCCATCCATGACTTGCTTCCTGGACCCTGGATAACAGCTTGGTGAACATATGGAAACAGGACGTGTCTAACTTATAAATCAAAAATAACAACAAAAAACAATGGTAATCTTTGAGTACTGTATTTCTGAACTTTTATTTATTATCTGCAGCATGGCTGTCATAAATTAAAATACTTTAAATAATTAAAATGTTCAATACTAACTTGAACATCATTTTTATGCTTAGGTATAACAGAAACAACAATAAAAATTAGAAGTGTAGATTGATCAATCAATTTAATGTTTTAAAATTTCATGGCTAATTGTGATTTTATTTCTATACTTAAAAATCCATGTAATATTTCCAATTCAGAAAACTTCTTTAAAAAAAACTATAGAGACAATACAGACTTTCAGATTAAATTAGAATGTATTATAACTTGAAAAGCATCCCCAGAACAACCTTAACTGGTATTTTCAGTTTTATTGATCATCACTGAGATTCAGTGTTGATATCAGATTCCCTGTTCCTGTGACTTACCTGATTAAACCAGCTGTTCCATGTTATGGCATCTTCCTCAATGAAAAATGATTGATCTGTAGGAGACAGAGGGTCTATCCTTCCAATTTTCACTTTTGTCATCTTTTTAGAAAGAATAAAATTGATGATATCAAATCCAGCTATTAACTTTACTTCTTGGTCAAAGGATATCTTGTACCCAACACTGTTATTAAATGTGACCTGTCTCAAAAAGTGATGGAGCTAAATTACAAAGAAAGGACAAATGTTGAGAGAAAAGTTATAGACTAAAATTATGTGTAATTAGAACTCCTCCTCCATTCTGCTTTCATTCATTTAAATATTTATTTATTCATTCAAGGTAATTTGCATTTCTTACTTTCATTAGTTTTGGGGGTTCTCTTCCCATTCTCTTTACTTTTCTTGCTAATATTTTGAAGGGCAGTAAAATTCTATCTTTTAAAGCACTTCTGAATATTGCCCCAAAAATATTTGTTTTATGATAGCATTAATTACATAAAATGACAGCTTTTGTATGTGATGATGGTATGTATGTGATGGTATCCATTTATCAACATCAAGTCTTAGATTGCATCAACAAAGAATTACCGGTAGGATCAAGGAGAGTATATAACTGGAAGTGGCTACTGGACTAATTATCTGATCCCACCTCACCCCTGTGCTTGCTCCCATTTCACCTATATTTTATAATTTAACAGAATAACAGAATAATAGAGTTGGAAGGGATGTTGGAGGTCTTCTAGTCTAACCCCCTGTTCAAGCAGGAAACCCTCTACAACTAATCACTTCTTTAAAACTTCCAGTGTCTTAAGAACACTCACAATTTCTGGAGGTAGGTCGTTCCACTGATTAATTGTTCTAACTGTCAAGAAATTTCTCCTTAGTTTTAGATTGATTCATTTTTATTGTTTTATTCCTTTGTTATTGCTATGTTTATTTTTTATCATTTTTTCCATTTTATTATTGTAATCTGCCCAGGGTAGCCCTTTGACTAGTCCCAGTCAAGATGGGTAGCAAATAAATTTAACAAATAAATAATAAATGAAAATATTAGTACCACTATATACTACTTTAGTAAGGCCACACTTGGAATATTGCATCCAGTTTCGGTCACCATGATCCAAAAAAGACACTGAGATTCTAGAAAGAGTGCAGAGAAAAGCAACAAAGATAATTAAAGGGCTGGATGCTAAAATATATAATGAATGGTTGCAAGAACTGAGTATATCTAGTATAATGAAGAATAGGGGTAACATGATTGCAATTTTTCAATATTTGAGGGGCTGTCACAGAGAAGAGAGGGTCAAACCTATTTGCCAAAGCACTTGTGGGGCAGACAAGAAATGGAAAGAAGGAGAAATCCAACCTAGAACTAAGATGAAATTTCTGACAATGAGAACAATTAAGCAGTGGAATGAATTGCTTTCAAAAGTTGTGGGTGCACCATCACTGGAGGTTTTTAAGAAGAGATTAGACAGCCGTTTGTCCTGAATGGTATAAGGTTGCCTGCTTGAGCAGTGGGTTGGACTGGAAAATCTCTAAGGTTCTTTCCCAGTCTTTATTCTGTTATTTTATTATGGAAAACTGATAAAATGCCTGGAACACTTTCCTAGATTGAAACTGATACTATCAGCAAATTGAAATTGTTTTTGAACTAAAAAGGATAATAGGATGATTTATCTCTTTTACATGATTCCAAAATTGTAAAAGAGGCAAGGCAAGACTCATTTCAATTAGGATGATTCTAAGGATGGAAAGAAAAATGGAGTTATTGTGTTTCTCTGCTGGAGAATCAGGACTCAAGAGAATGATGAACACATTACCTGCCAAAATGATTGTTTGTGAAGCTGCAGTCCACTATCCACCATTGCTCTATATTTGAATCCAGATGTAATCATATCCTGGAAAGCATGGGCTATGGCATAAACAGCATTGTAGATGCTGTAGCTGTGACCAGTCATATCCATTTCAAAATTGGGGGGAGAGAGGCTCTTCAATTTCTCTGCCCCTGTGCAATGTTTCACATTTATTTCATTTACACCTGTACCTGGAAATATACAACCAAAAGTTTTCTCCCAAAAGGTTTTGATAAAACCATCTCCTGTTGCACCAGATGGTGTTTGACTCTCCATAAACTCATGAAAGTCAGGTACGTGATTGGAATGAAAGGTGAAGGCTATAGCTCCATGGAAAACATCTAAATCCCAATCTCTTTGAAATCCAAAGGAATTCAGCTCCATTTGGGCAGTGGTGATCCATACTTTGCCTAGAGGTTTCTTCTGCTTACTTTCTGTTTCTTCATCTGAAAAATATGATATAAATCTAAAAAATCCCAAAGAATGTGATTCACTGTAGGCCAGTATCACCTTAACCTTATTATTGTCTCTCAGTGTGTTATATATTATGTTCCCCTGATTCAGCATCCACTCAATATTCATTAAAAAGGTTGGAATGGGGATCTTTTGTATGAATGCAAAGCAGACACCTTTCTGAGAAAACATGGGTGTCACTGTTTGAACAAATCTTTCTCCATTCTCAGTATCCATAACCACCATCCCAATCCATATCCATCTGAAGTACAGGAGCAAAAAAAGAATCCCCTCATATTGAAGGTCTTCCTTAGGAACCATCTGGTAGAAGGGAAGACCAGGAAATTTATCCTTCATCACTGGAGTGGGACTATAGGTGAGCTAAAGAGATCCATGAATAAAGGATAGGAAAAGAAAAAGTATAGTAGCTATAAGTATGCCATAAGTTTCAAACATGAGATATAACTTCTTTCTACTTAGTATTTCTATCCTTTCATTATGTGCTGCACTAATTAGTGAAGAATGTGGAAAAAGTACTTATACTGATATCTAAGGAGAAATGTGGTTTTCCAGGAAGAAACTTCTTATAATAATATATGGTCATTAGGCATATCTAATTCAGCCTAGCTCTTGATTGAGCTTATGAAATGATAACTGCAATTGAATTAATATATAAAAGCAATGTGATTTTAACCATCATTTTGATCAAATTATGTTGGCAGAAAAGATGTTCCATCTTCAAATAATTTTGAAGGCATATAATTCAATCTGGCTTTGAATAGGAGGGAGGGAGGGAGGGAGGGAGGGAGGGAGGGAAGGAAGGAAGGAAGGAAGGAAGGAAGGAAGGAAGGAAGGAAGGAAGGAAGGAAGGAAAGATCCTGTATATGTCATGCAATCTGTCAGAGACCATTTAAAAATCCTAAGCAAATGCATGCTAAAACATGGCAAAACAAATCCTTAGCAAATATATAATTCTTTACATTTGCATAATCTCTTTTTGTATCTTCTTTCGCTTGTAGATCTCTGCTTTCTTTATTTTATTCACATTGCATCAATATTCTTCTTTCATTTAAAATTTTTAATTTATTAAAATATAAAATACAAAAAAGGAAAATAATGAGAAAGTAAAGGGGGGAAAAGGGAAGGAGAAAAAAATTTAGGGTTAAGGAGACAGAGAAAAAAAGCATTGACCTCCCATTCTTTGTAGCACAGGAGAATCTGATAATAACATGCAGCCTCCACTTTTTAGCCATTTTATAACAACCTATCTAATTACCAAAATCCAAAGTCAAAGTTTCATTTTTTCCCACCTCAAGCAAAATGTTCAGAAGTAGTTTTCAAGTGGAAACAAAGTTAGCTGTATTCTTTTCTTTATTAAAGCAGTCAATTTAGCCATCTCTGCTAGCTTTTGCAAAAAGTCATCTATTGTGGGAATCAAACTATATTTCTTTGCTTTGCCACAGGTCCACCATAGATGATAAAAAGTTCCTTCTTTACATTTACATTTCCAACATATATTTGAAATACCTTTATACATTTTTGACAATTTATTCAGTGTTAAATACCAGTACATCATTTTATTTAAAAAAAATCTTTTAAATTATAATTTATTGCAATTTTAAGCCCTTTGTCCACATATTTCCCATTTTTCAAGCATTATATTATATCCAAAATTCTTTGCCCATTGAGTCTAAATTAAAAAAGGGGGAAATGTTGATATAATTGTCTTGAAGGAAATTCCTATGAGAATTTTGAGAAAGAAAAAAGCTTATACCTTCTTAACAGACATTCTGAAAAAGAAGAAAACCATTTCACTTGAACAAAATTGAAGGAGTGATATTTACTTATCGAGAACAAAGGTTCAGATTGAATTCTATAGAAAAATTAAACATAAACTAATTTTGGGACAGCAGAAGAAATGGATATAGACAACCAATGGGAGGCAGATCAACCTGAAATACCAAATACTGAAAAACAGGAAGATTGCACAGGAACTTGCTACATTGTCTACAGGTGAAGACTAAGTATATAACATGGAATATTCATGGGACAAATGTCGCATACAAGCAGAAAAAATATTTCACTAAATGTGAATGTCTGTATAATTTGTTTGCAAGAAACATATTAAGACACAAGACAAGAAATATCTAATAAATAAAAGACTAGCAGAGGGATTACTTTATATAATTGTCAAGATGTCCTCCTCGGTGCCCAGGAAAGAGCCAGCAAGCAGGTTCTGTTGACAAACGGCTGTTTAATCCGTGCAGGAAAAAGTTAGCACTGGGAGTGAACAGCTCCAAGCGCTTTACATAGCCTCTTCGTGCACAAGCCTCACCCCACCCCACAAGCCACCATCCGGCATGTGGAGGTCAAAAGCAGCCAATCAGGACGTGGCCTCCTTTCCATGTCCTGCCTGGCTCATAGACAGGCTTCCAGATGTGGGAAGTTAACCCAGAGAAGGAAATATTAAAAAGGCAGGAAAAATATTGTTCACCAAAAGGATTTTTAAAAGCATTTTTTGAAAAGCAGAAACCAAACCTGGCCTCATCTCTGCCCAGGGCAGTAGCTAGTCTTATACAAATGCAGATGTGGAACCATCAGAAAGTTGAAGCCAGAGCAATCAAGAAGACAAANAGCTCTTAAGAGTCATTAGCCCCATCACCTGGGAAGCAGGATATGATAATGGGATTAAACCACAGATATCAAGGCCTAGAAAAACACTCAGAAATAGCCTCAAAGTTCATGCCACAGGAACAGGAAACTTCCAGGCAAGGCTAGAGGGTATAAAAAGGCCTTCTACCCATGTGCTCACTCTCTTTTCTTCTCCTCTGCTACTTATCTGTCTTCTGCAATAAACTGTAACCTTCTTCCCAAAGCAGTCGCCATGTTTGCTTATTTATTCCCGGCTTGGATGAACCAGGATGAAGACTTACCTTCTAACAGCAGTATCTAAACCAGGGGTAGTCAACCTTGGCTCTTTTATGACTTGTGGACTTCAACTCCGTCCACAAGTCATAAAAGAGCCAAGGTTGACTACCCCTGATCTAAACATTTACAAACTCAAACATCTTATCAACAATCTAGTCACTGTCTTTGAAATATTAGAAGCTACTTAAAAATATTGAAAATAAGTAAAGCCCCAGGCTCAGATGCTCTTACAAGTCAGTACCATTTTTTCCTGAAAAATAAGCCCTAGCTTGATTTTGGGGGGTGGGCTTAATATAAGCCCTACTCCCAAAATAAGCCATAGTTTTGGGGTGAGGCACACACCTAAAAATCAAGCTAGGGCGAGGGTGGAGCTTACCACTGCAGCCAGGTCTCCCCTGGGTTGACACTTGCCTCACCGGCCCACTTCTTCTGCAGCCAAAGGACCAGCTTCATTCTGCAGCTGAGAATGGAGCTTGGGCCTACATTTTGCCATCAGAGGCCTTTCCAGAACGCCTGTGCAACCAAAAACCAAGCTATGGATTCAATCCATAGCTTGGTCATCGGCTACACAGACCTTCGGGAAAGGCCTCTGACTGCGAAATGCAGGCCCAAATTCCATTCTCAGCGGCAGAATGAAGCTGCTCCTTCGGCTGCAGAAGAAGTAGGCCGACTGGGCAGGGCTGTCAGTGATGCGAACATGAGGTGAGTGGAAAAGACCCCCCCCCCCCCAAAAAAAAGACCTGGTGCCTCTTTTGGAGGCAAAAAAAAGACTGGGTCTTATTTTCATGGAAACACGATAGTACAAATGTTTTGAGAACCAACTACTACAGTAATTAAAAGATATAATGAATGGTGTACTGCAGGGAGCAAAGATGTCTCAAATATGGAAAGAAGCCAACATTGCACTATCACAGGAGGGTCAACATGCCCTGATGATAAAAATCTCATTACATTAAACCAATTTCATTACTAAACAGTGATATAAACTTTTTATTACAATATTGGCAGAAAGATTGAAGAAATATATAGAGTCATATATCCATGAAGATCAGACTTTTTGCCAAAAAAAAAACCCCAGTTAAGAGATGATGTAAGAACTGTTTTGAATATTATTGAATTCTTTCAATACCACAATAGAAACAAGCAGCTTTAACATTCCTGGATACAGAGAAAACCATTGAAATTTAAATTGGGTTTTTATGTTCAAAGTCCTGGAAGGTATGGACTTTGGGGAAAATTTATTCTAGGGTTAAAGAGATTTCTACCTCACAGCAAGCAAAGTTTAATGGAGACTTAATTAAAGTATGTTAAATTCAAAAGGGCATGAGACAAGGATACCTCTTATCTCCTTTATTGTTTACATTAGTGTTGAAAATTTTGAATAGGTCTATTAGACAGGATGAAAAATAATAATGAACACTTTAGAATTTTATGAAGCCCATCCTGAAAAACAAGCTACACTGGTTTTTCTTGATGCCCAGAAGGCATTTGATAATCTGAATTGGAAGTTTATTAAAACACAATTGTACTGTATGGATTTTGGGACAAAATTTGGAAAGATGGTTGAAAAAATATATACTAAACAAACAGCTAGGGTAACTATAAATGATGAAATGACAGAAAAAATTGATATAACCAAAGGAGTAAGACAAGGATGCCCACTTTCTCCTCTTCTATTTATTTTATCATTAGAAATACTCCTGACAAAAATTAGAGAGGACCAAGAAATAAAAGGTTTAAAAATTAAGAAGGAAGAATATAAGGTCCAGGCCTTCGCTGATGATTTGGTATTCATTTTGGAAGATCCATTAGAAACCGGCTTTAAATTGATTAAAAAAATAGAAGAATTTGGTGAGGTAGCCGGACTTAAGATTAATAAGAATAAATCCAAATTAATAAACAAAAATCTTACAAAGGCACAGGAAAGTGAACTGGAAGATAAAACAAAGATAAGTATAACCAAGAAAATAAAATATTTAGGGATCTGGCTTACAGCAATATGTTCCTCGATTAAGGAGGACAATTATGATAAAATATTACACCAGATAAAAAAAGATTTAGAAAATTGGGAAAATCTTCAAATTTCATTTTTAGGGAGGACCGCTACGGTCAAAATAAATATATTGCCAAAAATATTGTTTCTGTTCCAAGTTATTCCAATAAAATTAGGGAAAACATTCTTTCAAGAATTAAATAAATTGGTCACCAAATTTATATGGCAAAGCAAAAAACCCAGGATTAAATTAAAACTCTTGTAAGATATGAATGATAAAGGGGGATTGGCGTTACCAGAGTGGGAAATATACTATCAAGCATCGAGCTTAACTTGGCTAAAAGATTGGATGGATTTGAAAAATACTAGAGTTTTAACAATAGAAGGACAGGGTGCAAGCAGGGTGGCATGCTTTTCTATGGGATGAAAAATATAAAATACACAAATACTTTCAAAGACACATAGTTAGGAATGCATTGCTACACACTTGGGAAAAAATAAAACAAAAACATTATGTAAGAATTCCAATGTGGTTATCCCCAACAGAAGCTCTGAAACACCCAAACCTACTGGATATAAATAAGATAATTAGATACAAGGAATTAGTAAATGAACAGGGAAATCTGAAAACAAAACAAGAATTGGAACAAGAGATAGGCAGAGAGATTGATTGGTGGACATTTACACAAATTCAGTCTAAATATACAGAGGACAA